TGAGGTCCCTGCTCAGATCTTCGACCTCCACTTCCATGTCTCGATACAAGTCTACTGTTATAGAGTCTCAAAAGAAAACACAGATCGAGCCGCGAAGTATAAGGGTAAGTCTGGGACCTTGGCGCGATGCAAACGTGGTTCGGCTGTTGACACGTAGCGAATTTGCAGGACCAGTTCGAGCACCTGTTATGTGACAAGAAAGACGCGTTCGACTACAACAGATTTAGTCGCACTTCCTTCTCGTTTCGCAAAGAATACCCAGGTGCTCCCAATCCGGTGCTCAGGCACCCCGCTTTGGGCACCATAGGTTTGCCGCTGAACGACCGAGAAGTGGAGGCGCTTAAGTCGCGAAGTACTCGGTCATCCGACAAGCATGAACGACATGCATACGAGCTGGACCTCAAACAAGTGAATCACTTAATTTGATACGTATCTTCCTCTCACACAGTTCGATGCATGTTAGATGTCGTTAGCCAGCCCAATGTGGAAGGGATTCCTGGCGGAGGTCCTAAAGGACGTCTCATCGGGGCTCTGTTTCCGGCTTCCGTATAATGCAAGCGCCCCCAAAATCAAATTACACAAGATTCTTCTCCATCCCAAAGGCTCGCGGTGAGTCTTTCGCTGTTCTATACGCAGTGAAGCTGACATTTTTCACCAGGACAGCAGCTCACAATGAGTATGTGTTTCTTGGCTCATTTGGCGTGGTTTTAAAGCTGAAAATTATAAAATCTCTCAGATTTAAATCGTCTGAAAGTGCATTTGCTAGAGTGCTTGTCATTGTCCCGTGCGAGTACGATGGTGGCGCTGTGCACGTCTCGCACGACGGTCTGGTCGCAGCCTATGACAACGCCCGAACCAACCACTTTCAGACAACGGTCGTAGCATGGTATACTGGCGCCACCGTTGAAACCAAACCTATCTCGTCTGGCGGTCGTCTCGCATTGCTGTACGACGTTGTCAACACCGCGCAGTGCCCAGCTCCCTCGCTGCCTCCACCGTCTCCAATGACCAAACGTTTCGATGCCATCCTCCGCGCTTGGAACGACGATACTGGTGAGAAGAGTCCACAGAAGCTGCTCTTCGTCTTGTCAAGGACCCGCGCCAACGCGAAGCTGAGCCGCAATTCGCTGGCCGACACCGATGCGCAGAAGCTCGCCTTCTTCGAGATCCTCGCAAGCAAACATGGATTCAACCTTGGTCTCGCCCACGCGAAGTGTTATGTAGAGACGTATCACGCGCTTGATGATTATGGGCAGAAGATAGAACAGTACAGTGACGACAGCGATTACGACGAGCACGACCAGGATCGAGAGCTCCACATCGCGCGCCTCGTTGATTTGGATGGGAAGCTAATAACAAAGGGACTGGACTACGACGAGTACAGCGACGAAGGGGTTCCGTCTCTGCTGAGCAAAGCTGTAATTGACGACGGACATCTCGAGAAGGAGAACGCATGGGCCGGCCGAGGTGTGCTTCGCGCGGCTGTGGCTTGTTGTCTGCGCTGCACCAGAAGAAGACAGACTTGGCAAGCGCGACCTCTAGTGGAGCATGCACAATCCGAGGTTTGTCGCGGTGAAGGAGCTCGGGGCCGCGATGGATCGCCAGTGCGAAAGAAATCAAGAAACTGTCGTAGACGGGAGCGTCGGGGCTTGTCAGACCCGGGAGAACGCTGCAAACATGGTGAGAGGTGCAAAAATCGGGATCGCGACTACTTACATGTCCTTAAGTGTCACGATGCCACGGATCTTCTTCACAACGTCTACTATAGTGCCGGCTTCGTAACCTCGAGGCCATATCAGCGTCTTCAACACTGTGAGTCTCTGTTCGAGAATCCAAGGTTGGAGCTGTTTGACAGTCGTCTTGCAGGCCGCGGCATCGGGCGAAGATGACCATGCCTCGAGCGCGGACAAGAAGTCCGCCCGCGAGGCATTGCGACTGCAACGGTTGCCGTTCAGCATAGCTTCTAATCTAAGACAGGAACCTCAAGGTCAACGACATCATATACACAATACAGGTATCGAGGCGTACCCTGGTTTGATTGCTTGCAAGCCGAACTGCTTCATCGCTTGCAGCACCATCGGCTCTGATAAAACTCGCACGCCGCAGTGCTTTGAGAATGTTACCACGGCTTCGTTCCACAGAGAGACGTCATTCCAGGTGAGAGCTACCCGACATACTTGCTCTGCCGCCTCAATATTGCTGTCACGGCGATGTACGAGAGACTTCGCGAGCTCGCGTTCATGGGACGTGGGCTGGGGACCCGCGCTGTCAAGTTCATTGATGGCACGGTCATATCCTTCGTCACCATTATAAAGAATGTATGGGTCGTTTCGTCGAGGCCAGATCACGAGTAGCGTTGCGCTGTACCCTGATGGATGCTAGTGTGAGCCATGGAGAAAAGATTACTCGAGCAGCGAAAACTTGCATTCTTCCAATGTGCCTCCGCCCTAGATGCATCGTGAGCTCGATGCAATGGAACGAATAGAGGAAGAGCCTACGAACATATTCGGGCGCCTGACGGCCCGAGCGGCTCCGAGCTCGTGCAACAATACATTGAAACTTGCACCGAGACGGGCTGCGCGGATCTCCTCGACGGGATGTTCGCGCGCGTCGTGGACGTATCACGCATGACCGAGGACGAGAAGCAGGACTGCGCGCGAGAGGTGCTCGTGCCTCTCACGGTGTACCTGCTGAGCCGGAACCCCAAAACGCTCCCTGCCGTGTTCGACAAGCTCCAGCGTCGCACGCTACGGTTTTTCTTGGACTGGATTGCCGCGGAACCGGATGCCTTCACGCGGGAAGCTGCAAAGCAGCTGTTTGACGCGAGCGTTGTCTACTGCGACCCATCGCTCTTTGTAACCACGTGAGGGACTCGGCCGGAGACGCTTCCTTGTTTATCTGACATCGCTGCCAATAGGGTCGTACCGCGATTAGAAGCTACGAAGCTGTCTGTCTCTGCCGTTCAAGCCATCGTCGACGAACTGCAAGAACGTCGTGTCGCCAAGCGCTTCGTGTACCCAAAAGGCTACAAAGCATGCAAACTGAGCGAAGTCGCGACAGTTCTTCAGGAACGTCTCAAGCGGCTCGCGAATGCTCAATTTCAGCGCAGTGCGGGGAGTGCCTTAGTGCCTCCCGCCGCCCGCTCGAAGAGGAAGCTGTCTACAGACCATACAGACCAGGTCGACTGTGTTACGCCACAGAAAAGGCGACTAGTCGTCATAAACGATCCCGACTATCAGGATATCCTTGATCTACCCTATTAAAATTTATAACTTTGAGCGATTCACGGACTTGATTACTATATTTTTTTCGGCACGTCTTTGTGTACGTTTATAATTTCAGCGTATAATGCACAGAAGCGCTATAATCTCACAATACAGCTTGACAAGAAACTTCTCCGCTCGTCTGATACACATCTTAACACCAACGCGCGATAAGGTACTGGTTACCATCGTCCGGATCGACAGCGTAGATTTGAATAGTCGATCCCTGCTCCACGCCGTAGCCCTTGTTGTATTCGAGGAGGTTAACGCGCCGCGAGCCGTCAGTTTCAACGGCGTAGGCGGCCCTCACGCCGAGGTCGTTCCCATTGACGACGACGCGGTAGCTGTATTTTCTTATTTGTGAGCACTTTGGGAAGCTTGACCATGTCGATGTAGCTGTTCGGGTTTCCGCGTTGCCAGTCAGGCGTGTAGTCGAAGCAGACGCGGCTCATGATCTGGACAAGATAGAAGAGCGCGGCGGAGCTGGACTGAGACATGGTGGTATCTGCTATATTGAATCGAGTCAGACGAATGAAGAATGATGAAGAAAAGGAAGAGATGTACCGTCGGGCGAGTAAACGACGGAATGAGGGCAAAGTGGTTACTAACGACGTCGAGAGGAGCACAGACATGCCAGCTCACGGGTTTGCTTGAGGGTAGATGTGTGTTGGAGCTGCTCCCTAGAGTCATTCACTGGTATTTTATGCAATTTGGGGGGCAGCCACGCGTCCCAGCCCCGTCGGATGGGTATTTGCAAAGGCCTTGCGGATGAGGTAATTCCGAGGCACTGACCCAGATATTTCGCCGCCAACCTACTGTGGAAATAGACAGAGCCATGCCCAGCATTCGCGATGTCTCTGCCTGACCTCAAACCGTTGGCATAAAAAATGCACGAGGACGTGCCTCAAGACCTGGCCTGGCACTAACCGGGATCATCAGCTTCAATGCTGCTCAATTTCTTCGGATAGCCGCAGTTACGTGATGTGCTGGAGGATGCCTAGGTTCTGACCTTCAAGTGTATATATTGTCGTGGCTCGGAGGTCGCCTAGCGCCACAAATTTTCGACCAAATGAGTGTCAATAAATGCGCGAGGCGCATCAGTCCGATAACGCCGAAGGCTGCTCATGATCGTATGTTTTCTAGATTTCTGTGGCGTAAAGCGCACTGCAGCACACGAGAGTGCAAGCATTCAGTATTCAGAACTCATCCTTAATTCCAAGCCCAAGAGCCAGTGTCCACATCCGACGCTATTCTGGGTAGGACCATCGACAGACCATCCCACTTCGACGCCATCCTGAGCTCGTTCTCTATTGCCTCGACCCTCCGCAAAGTATTTATGAACGAGACCCATGTCATATCTCTTATACCAATAGTCTAGTAGGTGCGCGACTCATCATCGATGCTCTGCGCCGCCTTGGGTAGTATCAAAGCTGCCGTAATTATATTCCTCCCGTTCTCTCAGACATTGGCTATATTTCTTAGTGCGTATATGCTGTACATCTATCTTCTTGTCTTATATTCTCTAACGCAAGTCCGGTAGCCTATTCCTCAGATATCTTGATCAGTAGCTTCCCAGTGAGACCGCTTCCAGGCGTGTTAATCTCCTGCTGCGCTTCGCGAGCACCTTCGGCCGTGAAGGGGAAGACGCGGTGTATTCTGATATTGAACAGCCCGCTACGGAGGGCTTGCCACAGCTCGCCGAGGTAGTGGTCCACCTCATCGGGAGTTACGAGGTATCCGAACGCGCTACCCACGAGAATATTCAGATCGCCGAGTACCATAGATGCTGACGTCCTTAGCACTTACCTGGGGCGGATGAGCGTAATGTTTTTGGCGGAGAGCTTGAGAGGAGAAATGGGGTCTGGCGCGCCTGAAGCATTGCCGATCGCGACGAGCGTACCCTTTCGACGGAGCATGTCAAAGTTGGAGAGGAAGCTGCAACAAGGCGAGTCAGCACTTCAGCCACCCCCCATTGTCGCTCTGTTAACGCACGTGTCCTTGCCGACGCCATCGAACACGGCGTGCACGCCTTCTCCGTTTGTAAACTCTAGAACCCGCTGCACCGTGTTCTCCTTCGTGTACAGGATGACATGATCGGCGCCCAGCGACTTGGCGAGCTCAGCCTTCTCGGGCGAGCTCGTTGTGCCGATAACTGTGGCGCCGCGGGACTTGGCGTACGCCAGGAATGCAAGGCCAAGGCCGCCTGCAATGGTGTGGACGAGAATGACATCACTCTTCTTGACGTAGTAGGATTCAGTCATTGTTGTCTGGGCGGTGAGACCTGCGGCCAGGGATAAGTCGTAGGTTGAACATTTAGATATAATGCACGTACAGTGGGCCATGCATGACGATGCAGTGTCGAGCGGAATATCGTCCGGCACGGGATAGACAGATGTCCACGCATACGATACGTATTCCGCGAAGGCACCCAGCGCGTTCTAGTTGTGGCCGAGTCATATTAGCCGCGCGATGCAGGAATGGGTGGAACACGCACCAAAGCGACTCTTCCACCAATCTTGTAGCCACGTCGCTTGTAAGCGACATCGTTAAGCACCGTTTCATTCGTAGGCAGCTTTACAATGATGCCCGACCCCTCTGTGCCGAGTATCTGAGGAAACTTTTTGACAGGATACAAACCCTTGCTGTAGCATTACTGGTGGTGAGCGCTGAGACCGGTTTACTGCTGGAAAGGATGCCCACCGGAAGTAGGTGTCAATTGAGTTTACACCGCCCCAGACGACCTAGCAGAGACGTAGTTGAGACATCTGAATGACTATCCAGCAGGAGTGCTCACCTTGGCCACGATGTCTTGTGGCCCCTGTTCGGGAAACGGAAGGGTGGTCTTTTCTACGACCTCCGGACCTCCATAAGCAGAGATAGTTATGGCTTGAGTCTTCTCGGGCAATGGCATAGCTGGCTGGCCTGAACGGCACCTGTCGTCCGCAGATGTATTTAACTATCGTACTACCACACTCCCGAAGCCCCGAGACGGAAACACAAGCAGATGAATAATAGCTCTCTGTCAGAAAAAGGAGTTAATAATCTTATAGCGTCTAGATTACTCATGAGAATTGAAGCCCGAGAGCTTGTGAGCCTGTACGTCATCATGGGAAGAGGAACGCTCAAAGTAGTAAGCGAGTTAAGAAAAATTGATCACACCATTTGCTTACCGTTACTATCAGACTGGCTTACTCAAACGGCTAGATAATCTCTGAGCGCTGAGCACTGGTTATCGTATCTTATCGGGGTCTCGATCAACCCCCGAATCGAGCCTTCGCTACCGTCAATGTATCTGCTTGAGGCTTCTGGATCCGTTTTCACTTGCTTTCTGGAGGACGGAAAGGGTGCAAAGGCTACCATAAGGCCATCTAGCTTGCGCCTTGGCATGAGGCCAGAGGCCACGGGGTCGCGGGACTGAATATCATCTCTGCAGACGCGTGTGATAGCTCTGCAGATTTGAGCTTGTTGGACGGTATGTGTGCATCGCCGAGATAGTTTTCTGCACTGATTGTGCAAATGTTCAGGTTGTTGCAGCGTCAAGTTGATCAGCTGCTATCCTACAGCTTATGATGACCGGAGCACGCTCCCTTCTCCCCGAAGCATCCTAGTAATGCAACCTTCAGTGCCTATTCCCGACGTCTTTGCATTTATACTGAGGAAATATGGAGGGTTCTTCCATGATACTTCCAGCTTCAAGGTTTCAAGCGCGACATTCCGCCACTACTTGTTCTCTATCAGCCACATGGCCACGATCGGCTCCCACGCTTACAGTATTGAGCGACATAGGGAGATCGCCAAGCTACCGTAGCCGAAGTTAAATATCATATTTTGAAGACAATGGCCCAGTGTAACTACTTCAGCAACAGAAGGCAGAAGATGCCAGGATACCTGCATAAAACCTCTGTAACAGCGACAGACAACTGGTAAGCTTCACGTAGACATGGCTTTCGCGAGGGTCTCTATTCCAGGACATACGACGGCGTTCTGGCCCCTATCACAGACGGAGCCAGCTTCGATAGATCCACCTCGAGGATTGCGAAGCGCTACTCCATCGTAAGTGCCTGATCCAAACTCACCAATCCGAACAAGGCCACCAGCCTCGAAGATGTGCTGCCGTTGACGCTGTCTCAGGAGGAGGCGCTGGACGCACGCACCGATTGCAGCCGCCTACTACCCAGATTGGCCTACGGGTGGCATCCCACCGGAAAGTCTCGACTACTCCAAGTTCGAGATCTTCTTCCTCGGTGAGTTCAAACGTTAATATTTCTTCGACTGGCTGTCTGACATGTGCGACAGCATTTGCGACGCCGAGTTTTCTTCGGGGATCGGCTGGGAGAGTGGTTCTACCTCCGTACTCAAACAGCTCGTCAACAGTGCGACCAAAAGCGGGAAGGGCACATAATTGTATTGTCTATTGGTGAGATTAATCGATTTTTCGTTGTGATTTGAATAATAGATGGTACGACACGCGGTTGGGACGGAAACTGCTTGTTCTTCTAGGCCATTAATATTGCCGAAAATTGGCCGCCCTTTGTCGATGCCGCGATGGTCGCAGTAAACACCTACGAACTTGATGGTGAGCAGATCTGACGACTCGGCTCGGTGATGGACTTACGTGGACGCGGGCATCGACATGGACTCGGCAAACTGAACTTCTTTCGAACCCGGCCCGCATCCCTGATACTTCAAGCACAGGAGCAGGCAGTAATCCTCATTCGTCTTGAGCCGCAGACCTTCTGAGCTTCTTCACTTCCCTGAGCTCGGCTCTGGGGCTTCCGAAGCTGCGATGACGCAGCAGCCACGGCCCGGCTCGAACGGCAGCCCCCTTACCAATGTCGCTTGCTACGCTTGCTATGTCGACATAATGTAAGCCAGCGCCCTGTGCCGCCGCTTCCGCTGTGCTCACCCGCCTATCTGTGATGCAGGAACCATGACGTCTAGAGCAAGGCGCCGCTTCCCGCGCCCTGCAATCAGCGATCGTCGCGCCATCTTCTCTCTAGGCGCGTCGTCCCCGCCAGGCCCGGCGCGGCGCGCCTGCCGCACGCAGCGCTCAGCCAATGAGCTTACCCGACGGCAAGCTCCTGCTCGGCGTGCCGCTGTGTGGCTACACCTCGCAACGCACCGCCACGACGCTCACGGGCGCCGCGCCAGCCCGCCGCCACTGAGGCTCGACATGAAACAGCACCACGAGCGCGTCCTGTAGCTTCCATCGCGCCGCCGGACGCGTGTGCCCGCTGGTGCGCGAGACGGTTGAGGAGGAGCTGAGCTTCCTGGACGGACCCCACGAGAGGATCGACACGTCTGCGGCGGCGGCTGGGGACTAGCAGATTCCCTTCAACGAGCTCGCCGCGCCTGGCGCGCTGCAGAAGTCGGCCGACGGGGGCCTACGTCCAGGCGAACGACTACGCCGAAGGTCGGGCCAACTCGCCACGATGCTGCCCGAAGTGGAGTGGTGAGGAGGCTGCAGGCTGGGACGACTGCGGCGACACGCTCGTAAGATCGTCGCTTGCCAGTTGTTAGCATCTGGACTGGCTCGTTTCATCAGCATCTGTTCAATGTGGCGAGGCAGACCGCAGTCCTCCGCAGTCACGTACAACGACACGAACTCGCTCGCCGACAGCGCCGCGTATGCCAAAAGCGGCGGGTGCTTCACGTGGTCTCTGGATCGAGTCAGCGACAGCTTCAATGATTGAGTCAGATTCTGGTTGATGCAGGTGACTCGTCTCGACTCAAAACGATGGCTATGCACTTCAGAATGTGATCCGCTCCAGCCTTGGGAAACGATCTGCGAGCGTTTCCGTAGTCTCTCCTTGCCGGCAACCACGGATTTAACCTTGCTTTCGCGACGCGTCACGGCTCTACCCGGACTGTTCCTAACTCTTCTTGCTACACAATATATCGGGCTGCTGTCCAAGTTGCTGATACAGTATCATGTTATGTATCGCGATACATTGTTTGTCTACCACGGCCTGTCGTGCGCATGAGTGATATGTGGGATAATGAAGGTGATGCAACTTACAACTGACGGCATTTGAAGCCTTCATGTCCGTCCCTGATACATGACACCCGAGGACCGAGGTTACTGTTTCGTCCACGGCAATGGCTTGGACAAGTCCACGTTCCCACCGCTGATAATGATGGCAATAGGACCATCAATACCAAACGACTGGAAGGCTTTGCTCCTTACGGCCGCGAACGCTGTAGCGCTGCTGGGCTCGACCACAAGCTTTAGCCTTTCCCACATCAACTTCATCGCCTCAACAACTTCCTAGGAATCCGGTCATCAGCTCGCACTAGCTGCGGCGGAGACAGGGGGCCTCCCTTACCTCGTCCGAAACGACAACGACACCCTCGACCTTCTCTTGGATGACAGGAAAGTTGAGCTTCCCGACAGGCGTGCGAAGGCCGTCGCAGATGGTGTCCGGCACGACCTCCTCGACGCGGCTGCCCTCCCTGAGGCCTTGCGCACAATCAGCGGCGCCGGCGGGCTCGGCCCCAAAGACCCTTACCCCAGTCCCGTGTGCGGCAAGCGCGGTGCCCGCGAGGAGGCCTCCGCCGCCGACGGGCGCGACGACGGCCGCGAGCGGCTCGGGCGCCTGCTCCAGGGTCTCGAGGAACGCCGTGCCCTGGCCGAGGATGGTGTCCGCGGCGTCGTACGGAGGCACGAAGGTCGCCCCGGTCCGCGCCTGCACGGCCTCGAGCGTCGTCTGCCGCGCCGTGGCGGTGGGCTCGCAGAACGTTATCTCCGCACCGTACCCCCGGACGGCGTCTATCTTGGGCTGCGACGAGTTGGACGGCTGGGGTTCGGTTCAGGCGACCGGCGACCGCGGGAAACACAAGAGAGAAGAAGAAGAAGAAGAAGAAGAAGAAGATCAAAACGACGTCAATGTGGCTATCGCGTGTCGTGCGGCGGAGCGGCGGCCTACCATCACGACGAAACACTGGGTGCCGCGCTCTTTGGCGGCCAAGGCGAGTGCACCCGCGTGGTTTCCTGAAAGATCTTCGGGATCAGTCTCAGGGTCACGAAATGTTTGTCGTGTGTTGGAAGACTGCCGGAACGCTTCTGGGACAGGGAGGAGGAGGAGGAGGAGCAAGACTTGCCTGAACTGTGCGTGCAGACGCCCTTCGCGAGCTGCTCTGGAGTGAGACGCTCGAGGCTGTGGCTGGCGCCACGAAACTTGAAGGCTCCGCCCTTCTGCAGGTTTTCGGCCTTGAAGTAGAGCGTGTTGCCACCCGGCAAGGATGCTGAGAGAGACGAGGAGGTGAAGAGAGGCGTTCGGTGGACGAACGGCTTGATCGTGTCGTAAGCTGCCTGGACAGAAGATCGCGACAGCTCAGATACCCGAAACATCTGCGAAACGGCACGTCAGTCCCACAACTCGCGACCTGGGATCGTGTCGGATCTGCGGGGCAGTGGGCTTCAGTCAGACCCAGCTTCGCCTGCGGGCTTAGGTCGTCTTACTGCAGCTGGATCATCGCGGGCCCCGACGACTGACTGTTGCGCTGTCCAAACATTGGAGGAAAGATGCGGCTCACAGTGTCCCTGATATTTGGACAATCAGTTGTTCGACCGGACGTCTGAGGAAGGCACGTCTCCGTCTGCACTCAAGACGCGTCGGGAGCGTGAGTGTCACGCCTCGCCTAGTCACATTTCGTGATGTGACATTGCGGCGTTATGTGTCACTCTTCCCGTAACGGGAGCCAGCTCGACTCCGCGGTGGCCGGCCGGGTTTACGTAGTCTTCCTTGTGGCTTGTCCTCTTCTTCCACACAGAGCGTGGTCGACGGATAATAGTCTCAAAGCCAGGTATGATCGTGTGCGACTCTCCTTGGACAAGTTTTGATGACCATGCGCAGGTCGTTGCACCAAGGCTGTATACCAAACCACGGACAGCTTTCTGTCCCAAACGAACAATGCTCCAAGCATGTCTCTCTCTCTCTCTCATGTCTCGATCCCGCACGCTCACCCGCAAGCCTGCCCAGACGCAAACCGCGGCTCTCTCTCCGCTCCCAGGCGCAGTCTTCGGCGCCGACGGTGTCTCGGGCGCGCTCGCCTCAGAGACAGCCGTGGTCCACGTCGCGTACGACGTCGCGGCCCCGCCGCCACGGCCGCCGGGCGCGTGGACGCGGTTCGTGTGCGTGAGCGACACGCACGCGCGGACGTTCGCCGTCCCTGACGGCGACGTCCTCCTGCACTCGGGCGACCTCACCGAGTCCGGCACGCTCGCTGAGGTGCGGGCGACGGTCGAGTGGCTCGCCGGCATGCCCCACCGGGCCAAAATGTCCGTGCGTCTTGCCGTCCTTAAGGTGTTGCCCTCCTGCTCACGGGTTTTTGCTCTGCGTTGCCCTCCCCCTCACACCCCACCCCGCCCCGCCCCCCTCACACGCACCCCAGAATCATCGCGGGGAACCACGATCTCACGTTGGACGACCACGAGGACTGGTACGGCGAAGAGTACGCCCGCTGGCACCGCCGCGGCAAAGAGGTGGGTTTGCCGCCCCCTTTTTTTTTTGCGCCGCCCGCTTGGTGTTCCTGCTGTTGACGGACGCGCCAGGACGTCGACGCCGTTAGGGAGGTGCTGACCGGCGACGAGGCGCGCGACGCGGGTGTCGTCTACCTCCAAGACGCGACTCACGAATTCCAGGCGAAGGAAGGCGGCCGCACGTGGACTGTGTATGGCTCACCTGTGAGTTCGCGTGATCGTGCCTGGGCTCGTGTGACCCCCCCCCTGACGGAAGCCACCCGTCCAGTGGTCGCCCTACTTCTGCAACTGGGCTTTCAACTACGAACGGGGTCTGCATGCAGAAGGTAAACGGTACAGCCACGCTTCCGTAACGTGTTGTGCCTGATCAGTCGGCAGCGTTGATTTCGAAGATCGCTCAGACAGATATCTTGTGGGATCAGGTTTCCTTTCGTGACGTTTTTGATGTCATCCACTGACGGAAAGTTTGGGCAGACTCACACACGGACCCCCAGCAGGGATCCTCGATCGCACGATGACGGGGGACTCGGTGGGCTGTGAGGCCCTCGCGGCCAGACTGCCTCGCCTGCAGCCTCGTCTGCACGTCTTTGGGCACATACACGAGGACCACGGTGTCCGGGTCTGCGAGTGGCAGTCTTCGGGGACGGGCCCCGGCTCTGGCCCGGGCTCGCATCGAACAGTCTTTGTTAATGCGGCCAACTACCCAGGAGGCCCTCGTCGGAGGGGGCCGAATGGTAGATTGTACGGCGTCGGACAGGGGGCGTTCCAGCCTGTCATCGTTGATCTCTGTGACACAGTTCCTCCGTCGGCAGAGGCTGCGGGCTCAGACGTCTGAATCACAGTCATTCCCCCTGGCTCTATGCCATTGCCTGATGCGCCACGAGCATGTCCTTTTCTAGCGCTTGTTGAGCTAATCAGCGACAGACTGGCGAAGGTCGGGCGTTGCATGGAACTCGGCCGTCTATTCCTTCCGTAGCCGTACATCTCGCATCATCCGTCGAGCCAGACAGCACCGAAGGGTGTCTTTGCGGGCATCGGTCACCTAGCGCACTTGGGTTTGTAGCGGTGTAGACAGTGACGTGCCTGTGGCGCTTGCGTTAACCTCTACGAACGCCCACATCCCGATCCGATGGGGATTTTCATTATGCACATGGTTAGCTTCCAGATGCTGTGCGCCGCAAGTGTTTCGCCGTCTGTGGTGTAGACGTGGCTGCTTCGTAGCAAACTTTGGACTGAGTCCCCTCGGAATACAAAGCACGGAAGGCTGTGAGCTCCAGACCTCCCGAACAACGAGGCGCCCCAGGCCGAGTCAGACAGGCTAGTCAAGCCCGAGCATTTGCGGGCGTTTGAGAGGTTATCAGTGTGTCCGAGGGCTGGTTCTCATCTGTTGCATCGTCGAGTCACGGCTGTGTGCGACTGTGTTGAGAAACATCGGTGGTGTGAGGCGAGGGCGCCGACACCTGATCAGAGTCAGTTTTTCGCCGGCACGAGCGAGTTCATTTCGGGAGACTCTGTGGACGAGTGCAAGGCCGGACTAGAGGCGACTCGCAACGGGCGAGCGCACACGGCCTTCCGTGTCAAGACGGAGGCAAGAGTCGGGCGCCAAGGGTGGGAACGCTCACGTGCGAGTGACAGGGTGGGAAGATTGACGGCGCGTCGGACACCGCCTCTCACATGTGCTCCGCTGGCTCTCTCTCGGTCAAAAGCACTGTCTGATCCGGCCGCCCGCTCAGGCTGCTTTCGGGCTGGCTGCCGATGCGGGGTCTCTGATCAGGGTTTGCGACGAGGCTGTATGCCAGTGCTATCAGCGCAAATTCGAACCGGGCCCGTTCCCACCCCAACAACGGCTCGTGCTGTTCTGCGTCCGCGCTTCTCCACGACCCCCCTTGATGCGTTCATCAACTCTCCTCTATATAAGCTAGCCCGGACCCTGCCGCTCTCTGCACTCACCCTCCCGCTCTCTCCAAAAGACTCCAAGCCCGATGCCTTCCCTCATCTCCCAAGAGCCCCAGCGCGTCTGGTTCATCACCGGTCCGTTCCTCGCTCTCTCTCCTACCGCCGAGTCCCGCTAACACTCCCGCTCCCTCTGCAGGAACCTCGTCCGGCTTCGGAAAGCAGCTTGTTGCTTCAGTCCTCGCTCGTGGCGATCGCGTCATTGCCACCGCACGCTCGATAGAGAAGATCAAGTCCTTCTCCTCACTCCCCGAGGCCTCGCCCTCGCGTCTTGCCCTCCTGAAGCTCGACGTGTCCGACACCGCAGAGAGCATCCAGCGCACCGTCAACCATGCCCTCTCGATATGGGGCCGCATCGACGTCGTCGTCAACAACGCAGGTCTCGGCATGAAGTCTGTGCTCGAGGAGGGCGGGTACGTGTGACTGCGCACACACACACACACATCTCTCATCACCAGAGCTGATCTCCCCGTTTGACAGATCCCTTGCCGCGATGCAACAGTTCCAGACAAACGTCTTTGGCGTGCTAAACGTCACAAACGCCGTCCTCCCCCACATGCGGGAACGCCACTCAGGGACGGTTGTCATTGTCGGCAGCCGCACAGGGTGGCACGCCGCTTGCCCTGTCAGTATTTCATTTACCTGGCGCCCAAATAACCCATACTGACATCTCTCTGCTCCTACAGCCAGTTGGTGAGATATGACGTTGCTGTGTTGTCCCCCGACACGAGGCTCACCTTACTCTTTCCAGGGTTCTATGCCGCCTCAAAAGCCGCAGTGCACGGTGCGTAACACAGCTCGACCCTTGATGCCACGTCGGGTCTGACCTAGCGGGTTTTTTTTGCCTCCAGCCATCGGCGAGACATACGCCTCCGAGCTCGCCCAGTTCAGCATCCGCGTCACCGTCGTCATCCCGGGCTCCTTCCGCACGAGCGCGCTCGGCCAGCCGATCACGGTCCACAAGCACATCCCCGCGTACGACATGATCCGCGAGAAGGGCCGCGCCCGCTTCAACTCGATCTCGGGCTACGAGCGCGGCGACCCCGCCAAGGCCATGGAGCTCCTCGTCGACGTCGTCCGCGGCGAGGGCTCGGCGCGCGGCCGCGAGTGGCCCATGTGGTTGTTCATGGGCCAGGACGCCTACCGGGACGTGCGGGGCAAGTGCGACGCGGTCCTCCGGACGCTTGATGCCTGGGAGGACGTGTCGACGAACCTCGAGTTCGACCAATGACCTGCTGTTTTCCCTTCTTTTTCTTCTTTCTTCTTTTCTTATTATAATTTATCTGGCATGATCCGTTGTATAGATTACAGCAGTGCTCTCGGATGGACATTTTGCGGCAAATGGGCGGTCGCAGCATCTATCTCTCAAATGGACGCTTCTTTGTAGCCATATATATATACCAATATCGCAACACCCCGTATAATCGATATCGCACTCAGTAGACACCACACGTAATTTTAACTTATGGCTATTATAAAATAGCACAGCGAATTTCAGGAGCCCCTTGACCCTGCCAGTGTCCGGCCGTAGAGCGAACCAAGACAGAATTATGCACTCGCCCTGCCACATCCCTAGACGGGGGCTGCAGGGTCCACTGGTCAGGCCGACGGCCGCGCGCCCGTCGTCACCTCAACCCAACCCCTCGCGCCAATCGGCCGGGCCAGAGATCCCAGAGATCCCAACTACAGCCACAGTACCGCAATGTTCGCATACGCAAAGCCAGTGTCCAACCCACAACCCCGCCATGCGCGCATCGTTGGTCACTCACGCTGATGACACATCGTGGGTCACCCCCCCTTCCTCCTCCTCCTCCTCCTCCCCTGACTCACGGCAATATGCAAAGCCCGAGCCCTACCCCCCCTCCTCATGATCATCATCGAAGCGATGCCCCCGCGCGAGCTGCGAGGGGGCGCGACGGAGGGGTGCGCGCCGCGCTTTCGCCAAGGCTTTTTGATGGCGAGGCTTCTGCGCGCGCGCGCGCGCAGGCGGAGGCGCAAGCGCAAATTGGGGGACACAGCCTCGGGACGGGTGGTGGACCCCCCGTGGAGCACGGTTGCTGATGCGAAAGACGGGGCTGGCTGCGCGGGAGGCAGGCAGGGGGCGCAGCCCGGTTGTGTGTGTGTGTGTGTGTGTATTTTTGCCAACCGTGTCGGGACGGTGGCGTGCGAGAGACTGCGGCGTGTGTCTTGTGGTAGACACGGATGCACAAGCGAAGGGCAACAACTTTCGCATTGCAGTGGAGGACGGCGACATTCCCGCGGATCCTGAACAACAAGTGCTACCTCAGCTCAGGCTCAGGTCCGTCAGTGGTCTCGGTACGCTCTGGGTGATGTGTGATGCGGAGGAGGAGAGTCCGTGCGGGACACAAATCGGCTTGTAATGGCTTGTCTAGGACAATGCGGTGACGTGTGATCTAGTCTAAGATGTGCGCAGCACGCGCGCAGGTCCTTTTATGCAAAACGAGGCCGCCCAGGGGCATGTCTATAGCAGCAGCAGCGCGATGGCCGTGATGGCACTGCAAAAGCAGAGACAGTGAGCGTGACTGTTGAAATGTGATACGACAAAGTCGACAGTCGACTTACGAGGATGAGAAGAACATGAATGTGTCTTAGGGTCCACGCCATCAGTCCGCGGTCTTCGGGAATCAAGGACAGCCCAACTTACATTGCATCAGCAGGAAGGCCTGGCGGACCCATACGATCAGTACTAGACCGAGAATGGCAGGTTGAGCTGTCATGGCGTACCGAGAGCGTGTCTACGTTGCCGTCCGGCGCGAAGAGGCTTGCAACAATCATCTGACTGGCGAGATGCAAAAAAAGAACAAACAAAGAATGATGGCGCCGTCAGCACAAGGGCAGAAGGGCGCACTCAGGGAGGAACAGTCTCGTACTTGACTGCTGCGGGCGTGCCGCTGAGCAACATCGCCACGAACCGCTCGGCCTTGGACGAACGGTCGATGAGGCCGCCGGCGGTCATGCCCTGGACCATGAAGACGCCGAGGACGGGGAGGAGCGCCATCTTGACGAGCGTCACGGCGAGCATGGCCATGATCGGCAGGCGCGAGAGCGGGCGCGGGACTCGCAGGCGGGCGAACGACGCGCCGAGCATGATGAGCGCGAGCGGGACGGCGATGTTGCCGATGAAGCTCGCTGGGGGACGGCGCGGCACGCCAGAGGGGGTGAGCTGCGTTGCGTGCAGAGGGGGCGGCAGAGAGGCCAAGAAAGAAAAGGGTGGGGGAGACGTACCCGTGTCGATGACGAACGCGAGCGGTGGGTTGCCGTCCGGGCCCTTCCAGTCTGGCCCGCCCTCGCTCGAGACGTCGACGAAGAGGGCCTTCAGGTCTTGCACCAGCGCGATGGGCAGCGCGATCGCGATCGCGACCGTCACAGGCGTGACGATGGCCTTCAACGGGCGCAGCGAGCGCAGCACGGTTGCGGGGAGGCGGGTCGTCCTGGGGGCGTGCGAGGCCACACTGGGTGCCGCGGCCACGCTGGGCGCCGCGGTCACGCTCCCCGAGTCGTGCGACAGGTCGGCGACCGCGGCGGCCTGAGAGAATTCAGGCACGGTCTGCTGGTGTGCTGTTGACAGCGAAGACAGGCGTGAGATGCGCCGCACGAGCTGGACCTCTGGGTCTGCCTCGGCCGGATCGTCGTGAAGCGTCTGCTCGGGCACCGCCATGGAAAAGATGGCCTCGAGATCCTTCTCCTTCTCCTCTTCTGGGAAAACGGGGCCCGCGACTGCAGATCCGACAGAAGCCTCTCGCGGTGCCGGCCTCGGCTCGCGGAGGATGTGTCGGGCAACGAGCGAGCCCAGGGGTTTCTCCTTCCATGAGCACCGCCGCTCAGCTTCTTCGCCTTGTGGTATGCCAGGAAGGTAATCCCATGAAAGCGAGTGGGCTGCGCCGCAGACCCAGAATACGAGGTGGTATGACACGATGAAGATAGACACGAACGATACGCCCACTTGAACTATTATAAGAATGCTTTGATTGCACCTGAGAAGAAATAGCCTTACGCTGCGGATCGGTGTTGGGGTCAAACGGGGCTTGTTGGGTTACAGACATTACGATGGCGTTTGCTGTGGTAATAATGAGTGAGCGCGCGGCACGACAGATGTGGGGCACTCGCGGAGATTCCCCCAGTTGCTCATCCCTGTCAAAATGATGATGCCCGCCAAAAATTTCGCGGCACGTAGCACACTTCGCGAATGATGACGCCGCTCAAGAACCCAACGATCATGTACACGAAAGCGGTGAGGAACAGCGGGCCTAATGCGGAGATGTTTTGAGGTGTGAATGCTGGCACTATGTTGGCAAAGACCAGCAAGGGGAGCGAGACGTTCATGGTAATCTGAGATGCACCCTTGGACGCGGCAGCGGGGAACATGCCCTTCTTGGCCAAGAAATAGCCGCAAAATATAGATATAAACCTGTGAGAGCATATCAAGCACAACCAGCAGATGAGAAGCGCGGACTGCTCACGTTTTAATGAGCGGCATTACGCCTGAATAGATCAAGAAACCTGCTGAGGGCATACTGGAGCGGCCGAGCGAGCAGGACGGCGGACGCCAAGCTGAATGTTCGTGAGCCGTAGTCGTCGTCGTTCGTCAAGTCATCGCAGGTTCTTCTACTCTTATTGACCGAAGTCGTGTGTCTGCAGGAGTCCTCGAGGCGAGGGCGTAAAATCGCGGAAAGATAGAGTCAAAGTCATGGCTACTCGTCGTCCGACACGTCCGACGCAAAGCTCTCCCGATGATTGGACAGGCGAAGTTATTTCCGGTCCGGCGTTCCGCCTGCAAGCCGACGCACCACTTGATGAGTTTGTAGTCAACTACGATGGATTAACGTCGTCAGAAGACAAGGGATTGTAAATATGTATGCCAAAAGCTGCTAGAGATTTATAGTCGTTGCTGGTTTTGAGAGAACTCCAAGTTTTCTCTTGAGCTGGTCGCGGTCCAGTTGGCAGGAATTGCCAGCGGGTACACAACGGCCATAAGGCAGTTACTAAAGGGTGTAAGTATCTCTTCTTACATAGGCGTCTAAATTACAGACAGGTTTATACCCGTTTACTTACTGATCAGTCTGCCTGATAATCTCCTGATCGTGAGCGTCCTGAACCTTTTTCCGCTTCTTCCACCTGTTCTCCGCCCTACGCTTCACTATTCTGCACAATTTCCATCGGAGCAGTCAACGGCTACACAGGGCTACACATCTAGTAAGGGCGCTTCTTCGTTGGAAACCTGGCATGTCTTTCGGATTTCTGGAAGCGGGTTCCCGAATGCTATACTAGTACTGTGCGTTATCTTTGACTCGCCCGCAATCATAAGAAGCTTCATGCATTGCTTCACATGCTTCATGTTAATGCTCCCTGTGAAATTAAAATATTCCCTTACATCTCAGGCATCCGATTCTTGACAATGGCCTCCGTCTCGTAGCTCAAGTCCGCCAGTAACTGCCGTTCAACATCTTCAGATGTGACGATACCAAAACGTACCGTCCTGGGAGTAGAAAATTGGCTCAAGTGTTTGCCTTGACTGGATCCACTGCATCTTGCTATCACATTATGCCAGTAACACGTGCGGCGCAGCATAGCATGCCGAGGTCAAGAGGACCTCGAGGCCAATAGCGCGTGGCAGGCTGGGTAGTGCGATCTCCAGCAGAACCTGGGAGAAAAGCTCGAGGATGGCCTGCGTGTTAAAGAAAAAAGTGACGGATTGCACGTCGGCGCATCGAGCGTATAAAGACCAGTCATCTGACCGCGTCCAGAGTGTCAGATGAATCAAGCGGATGACAAGCGTGCGACGCACCTGGCCGAATACAGCTGGAACGAATGGCCATCTATCTTGAGAGTCTTTACGGCCAGTCTCCAGGGACCATTCCAATCGCCAGAAAAAAACGTAGGAACGAAACGCCCCGGTGGTTAAGATGCAGTAGTGTGTCTGTAACACCGGCGTTAAGTATACCCATGAAAAGGACTCTTAGCTCCCGCACTGGTACGTATCCCGTCCAAAGCAGATCGCTTGGGTAGACGGTCTTGACGCGCCATCCGCGAAGGGGCTCGTACTGCCTCTCTGCTACGTGTCGCTGTTGGATCATCCTGTTGCACCCTATTGCATCTTAATACGGTCTTTGGAGCTCGAGTGTATCAATGTGAATACGGCGGAAGAAGGCCTCTGTATGGAAGATGTCGAGGATGCGCGAGGCCTGGTAGCTCGGGACAGCGCGCAGCGAGCAGAGTCCGCGGGTGATCCCAACAGTGTGGCAGCAGAATTTGACGCCATGTCTGCCCTGGGTTCCACTGCGCATTGTTTAGGGATGATGGTGTGCAGGCGGGGCATCTTCCGCAGCAGAGCGACGAACTTGAAGAACTCGGGGTCGATGCGAGCCTGGGAGGAAAACTGACCTTGCTGTCGGGCTTGCCAGAGACTGTAAGCGAGCCTGAGACGACGCTCCACTCAAGACTTGGAACGGTAGCAAAAATGCCCGACGTGCTTTCTCTGTCCTCGCAAAAATGGCGTGCACTGAGCTTGACGCTGCGGAAGAGATGAAGCCGACAGGGCATAACCCAAGCAGGTCCGACGAGAACATAACGCCTGAGCCTGAGGCCCTGAGCGCGTCCTTGTCGTCTGCAACAAAACTGACAATTAGAGCAACAAGTTCCGGTGGGAAATCATTAATCATTCCTTGTGCCGACCTGCGAGAAAGCTCTTCAATTATACACTCGAAGGCTACGCATAGCCAGGAGGGATAGATGAATGACCCACGTGCTAAGCCTCGAACACATACCAAGCTTAGGATCTTTCATTGCTAGTAAGACTTAGTAGTACATGAGCAGGTAGAGGTGATTTGACGTTAGTCTCGGTTCCAGACATTTCGGCCCCGTTATCAACACTGTAAGCCACATAACAAACGGAGTTTGAATTGGTGTGCAGAGACTACTACTTCTTTCCCCACCACTGCTGCAGAAACTCGGGAACTCCCATGGGCTGCACCTGGGGGCAAAGCTCATTAATGTTCTTGCCCTCATACCCTATCGGATTGCTCCTCAAGGTCTCCAAAAACCAATGGGCCATAATCTTCTCCATGTCAAACGCAGCGAGTCTCTCGTTGGGGTGTTTGAGCTTTCCTGGGATGCTCGAGTTGATCGTCTCCAGTAGCTGCTCCTCAGATAAGTACGTCACATCGAATTTCTGGCCTGTGAGGAGGACAATCAGCTGCCGATCTTACACAGCAATAAAACCAGCTGAGCTCACCTCGGACCTGCTCGGCCAACTGCACAATCTCACTCAGCTTCCTCCTGTCTCCCCTGATTTGGCTGAACTCAGGCCACTTCTCCAAGTCCAAGCTCGCCGCGACGAACTTCCCAATGTCCTCCGCCCGCGTCTGCACAAAGTACGCAGAGCCGTCCCCGGGGATCGTCGCCTTGCGATGCTCGACGTCGAATATGAACGCGAACGGGCCCAGGTGCCCAAGACCCGGCGTGCCGGCGGCAAGGTAGTTCATGAACATGCCGACCTCGTAGATCGTGTACTCGAGCCCACTCTTCTTCACCGCCTCCGTTACGGGCCACTTGGCTCGGTAAACCTCGATGGGGTGGTTGGCGGTTGAGCGCACGGCGAACTCGCTCGGCGCGAAGCGCGTCACACCCGCTTTGACGGCCGCGTCGAGCAGTGCGAGCTGCGCGTCCGTGAAGGCGTCCGCACCGGCGCCGGCGATGGTCGAGATGACGGTGTGCACGCCGTCGAGAGCCTTGACGAGCGCGGCGGGGTCGTCGTACGAGACGGTGACGATGGGCACGCCGAGTTTGTCGAGGACGGGGTGGCTCGCGCGGCGGGAGAGGACGATGACGTCGTGCTTGCCGGCCTCGACGATGCCCTCGACGATGTGGAGGCCGATGCCACCGGTGCCTCCTGCGATTGCGACTTTGACCATTGTTGTGGGTGTGTGATAGTGAAGCGGTGTGTAGAAGCTTTACAATGTAATGCTCCTCTTCCATCCTAGGTGCCCCTGCCTTTATACTGGTCTCCATCGCAGACACAATAGTGTGCTGGACAGCGCATTCGTGCCTTCGCTGACTCATAGCTGGACTGTGCCGTGGTACACGTACGCCTGTCTGGTCCTTCCGTCGGTCTTCGACCCCGCTTCTGGCAAGCCCAACATGGGTTGTCCCATCTGGTCAATGAGCCATCAGTGATTACTATGCCACCTTGAGAAAATATTTTTGCAACGCGACCCTGATTCTCGAATTCCCATAGCCTTCCCAAGGTTCGAACGATGGTGCAAGGCATCTCTGGGATTCACAAGTACCGCTGTGGGCCTGGTGAGACAACGCTGACTAAGCATATTCCTCGCAACATCAACGTTCAACGTTCAACTCTGATGTTGCGACTTCGAAGCCCGCTAACATGCAACAAAGATACAGAAGTCGAATAGAGGCCGGGCAGTTTCGGCGAAACTTGCCGTGCTGCCTTTGGCCTGGACCTTGACTTCTACGTCCGGTTTTTTTGTGTCAAATTTCCGAGTCGTGTTACGAAACGCATTTGACATAGGCGATGAGAATAGCTCTAAACGTACCTGCCTTCTAAATGTGGACGCGCTGCCCACTCTAACGAAGCAGCAGCATCCTCATGTAACACCTTCCCGAATCCCGGCCAAGTAAGTCTACAACGACAAGCACACGATAGACTTGACAAGTTCAACTAGTGCCAAAGAAATTTGCATCAGTCCTATTGCTGCGAGACGGATCGGTACTCAGCCATCTGCCGTGCCATCAAGGGTTCCTGCCAAGTATGCGAAACTGGACCATTGGCCAGATGAATAAGCATCGTGGCGGGGTAAAATCTTACCTTGTTAACGTTGACATTGTAATACCGCCCGAGGGTGTCCTTCTCTAACGTCTCCAATAGGACATCGTCTACTTTCAACTACTCCTTCGCCTCATCCAACGACTCCAGGAACCTCTGCAGGAAGAAGCGTTCGACGGGCTTGTCGCGGCGGGTGTCGGACCGGTCTTGAGCGGATCCGAACTCGTGCTGTGGACGGAGATGTGGACGTGCGCTCTGATGCCCGTTGTGGCACAGGTGCAGACGTATACTTACAGTCTTGTTCAGAGCGTAGCAGCTTGGGCGCGAACACTTCAGCCCACGGGAGCAACGTTCGGTATTCTCTCGTGAGTGAATCCTAGAGCGTCACCAGCAAGCAGTCTGTCGTTGCCCCAATATTGGGAGATGTGCCGACGCGAGCATTGCATCTTACGGAAAAGCTCAGGGCATACGCGCGAAGTCAAAGTGTGAGCTCGTATGTCAAGACCGTGGATGGAAGGTGTGGGCGTGAATGCCGGTAACGAGTTGAACTGAGCGTGAGGATATGACGTAATGAACTTGTTTACAGCTACTAACAAAACACGAGACAAATTTGGAAGTTTGGAAGGTGTCCTGCAGCTCAATTGATAACAACTCGTTGACAGGTATTCATTTCCTTCCTTACTATGACTACTTATGTAACATTACTTATTGACCGCACGCAGTGCGGTCTCTGCGAACACCTCCCAGAAGAGAGGGAACAAGACTAATACCCAACGTGCCTTCTCCGTCCTCGCACAAATGGCGTGCACTGAGCTTGACGCTGCGGAAAAAATGAAGCCGACAGGGCGTAACCCACGCAGGTCCGACGAGAGCACAACGCCTGAGCGCACCCTTGTCGTCCGCAACAAAACTGATAATTAGAGCAATGGGTCCGGTAGGCAATCGTTTATCGTGGCCGACTTGCGAGAAAGCTCTTCAATCGTACACTCGAAGGCTAGGCACAGCCAGGAGGAATAAGCGAATGACCTACGTGTTAAGTCACGAACACATACCAAGCTCAGGGCGGCGCGTGTCATGGTAAGGTCACGGGACCGCGTACCGTTTTCGTGGAATGTGACGCGCCCCTTTCGACTCTTTGCCCCTCTCCTCCTCCCGCTCACCACCCGTCCTCTTGGCTTCTTGTTCTCGCACGGACAAATAACTTCCTATTATTGGTGTTAGCCTGCGGACACCGAGGCCCTAACGGTTCGAGAATTGTTACAATCCCCCTAGACCCCATCCTGCCAAGTTACTATCGCAAGCCATTGCCATAATTACCACAAAAATCAACACGTAAAGCCGATCTAGTTCGAGTTACTAGGCACAGAATGTCTGAAAAACCTCAGCTGAACGAGGTGCTGGACATCGCAGTGAGTCGCTACACGAACGCGGATGCTGGTCGGACGACAAGACTAACTCTGGCTAAGGGCGACTTCGATGTTGCCTTGCAGGAAAACAAGAACAACTTCCGAGCAGCCTTCTCTTTCAATAAAGCATATGCTGATGCTCCTAACCCTGCCCTCAAACTATCCGACCTCGGCATCGTTGGACTTCCCCTGAGTACGCGAGACGCAGAAGCCATCAAGTCGCGTAGGATACAAGCACCGTTCGGTATGGGAGAGCGGACAGTGGTTGATAAAACTGTGCGGGATACCTGGGAGATGGACGCGAAACTGGTGCGTTACGCCTTAGATTCTGACTCCACAACAAAGCTCATGTCTCACTATGCAGGTGTCGTTTGCTAATCCAAAGTGGAACCAATATCTTTCTGGGGTCGTAGGGGAGGTGTGTGAAACACTTGGCGTCAACATTGCAGCCAGCAAACCGCGCGCAGAGCTGTACAAGTTACTGTTATACGAGACCGGCTCCCAGTGAGTGGTACCATATTCCGCACCTTGCTGTTCTCATCACCCCTATTTAGCTTCCTTCCGCACGTCGAGTAAGTGATTCGTTGCCAACTTATGCTTATAACTAATCCCCTTTAGCACTGAGAAAGCTGACGGCATGTTTGCGACCATCGTTGTTGTCCTTCCGTCATACTTCACCGGCGGCGCTGCCCACCTTTCCTTTGGCGACCTCTCCACCGTGTACGATTGTTCGCCCAGGTCTCAGCTCGAAACGTCAGTATTAGCCTGGTACACCGATGTCACGCACGAAATAAAGCCCATCACCTCAGGATACCGTCTCGCTCTCTCCTACAACTTGATTCACACAACACAGTCCTTACGCCCTGCGCTCGCCACACACGACAGCGTGACCGAGAAGCTCACGCGCGTGCTCCTCGCATGGCGCGACGACAAGGGCGCGCGCACGCCGGAAAAGCTCCTGTATCTCCTCGACCACAAGTACAGCGAGGCGAACCTGAAGGCGGGTGCGCTCAAGGGCGTCGACGCGCAGAAGGTCGCGCTTTTGGACGTGCTCGCGCGCAAGCACGGCTTCCGGATGGGCCTCGCGAACGCGCACTGCCGCCTCTCGGGGTACGCGGAGGACTGCGGCGGCGGATACTACCGCCGCGACCGGCGCGGGTGGTACGACAGGTTCGATGACGACGACGATGACGTGGAGTTTGCGGAGGTCGAGAGCCGCGAGATGACGATCGAGCACTTTGTCGACCTCGACGGAGACCTGATCTCGAAGCAGCTCGAGTTCAACGAGGAGGAAGAGACGATACCCGCTGACCTAGCGGACAACGTCGAGTCCGGCCCGCATGACGGACAGGATTACGAGGGCTACATGGGCAACGTGCGTACATCCATCTCATCAACGCACTCTCTGCTAACCCCGTCTTCCAGGGTGCAGGCTCGCTCGAACGGTGTGCGTTCACACACCTTCTATACGCATTTCTTCGTCCGCTAACGCGCTCCGCAGGGTATCGCCGCACGGTGCTCGTCATCTGGCCCGCGCGGAACAACTACAAGGTGCTCTACGAGGGCGACTCCGGCTTCAAACACGCCGTCGAGGACCTGTACGAGGAGCACGAGCCCGAGGCGGAGAACGAGCTCATCGAGTTTGTGCTCGCGAACCGTGCGAGCGGGCCCTGCGACGCCGCGGAGGCAGTCTGCTTGTGTGCGCTGGCCAGGAACGATGTCGCGCAGTGGCAGCGGGCAGTCGCGGCGTGCGCGGAGGGCGCGGGGGGCGTGGAGGGGGGTGTGCGGGTTGTCGACGACGAGATCTGGGCGAGGGCGCTCGAGAAGTGGGGTTGGGAGTCCGTGAGACCGAGGTGCGCGTTCTGTCCGGGGATTGTCCTGCTTCTGCTGATTGATCCTTGGTGCAGCTTCGAGCTGATGTTGAAGCATGATCGTGGGAACGCGACCCGGCTACAGTTCCTCGAGACTCTGGCGGGCGAGCCCTGGAAGCCGATTGATACCGATGAGGATACGGTTAAGGCGGTCCACGCGGAGTTACAGCCCTGGGCGGCGGCGCAGGCCCACGAAGTGCTCAAGACCCTGAAGATACCGACTGTGGCCGAGTGTCCGGCTCTGCTCAAGGCTGCGCACGAGGGCGGTGGGCTGTCATGCCTCAAGGACGTGTACGTAGCCTTTACATCATGTCCCATCTATATTTCTCACCGAATTTCTGCGCAGTATGCTTCCACAGTTCCTGCCCACCGCTTCTGAAGACGTCCTGCGCGAGCTCGCAGCCCAACTTTTTGCGGCAGAGTTCTTCCCAGAGTCTACAGAGAAGACTACAACGATATCCACCTTACTCAGCGCGGGTATTGCCAAGGCCACGTTTTTCAAGCCCCCACCGCCTCAGCCGGCGCACTACCGCTCTTGGAACCTACCATCGCAGCCACAGGCGCTAGCTGGTGACCATGCAGAGCTCGCCAAACGCTACGTACAGACGTGCATAGTGCTCGGTTGTCCTGAGCTTGTCGGGAGCGTGCTCGACAAGGTCGGGGACACGTCTGCGCTCGAAGCGAAGTACGCACAGGAGTGTGCGCGGGCGGTGATGCTCCCGGTAGTCGCAGCGTGTGTCGAGCGGCTGCGCGGCGCGCCAGAGAGCGTGCCGAAGGAGAGGCTCGAGAAGCTGAAGGAGACCGCCGTCAGGCTCTGTTTTGAGTGGTTCGTTGCGAACACGAGGGCCGTGACGCGACCGGACGTGGCGGCGCTCATCGGCGCGGTCGTCGTCGATGGAGACGCGGCGACGTTTGTCCAGAAGTGGGTGGACGTGCTTCCTTTTTTTTTGAGGTCGATGCGCGCCGCTGACCGGGACACGTTGCAGCGTCGTTCCGAAGCTCGAGCAGATGAAGTTCAACGAGACGAGCATCCGCGCGGTCATCGACGAACTGCATGCGCAGAGGGCGCGCTTCACCTTCCCCGACGGCTACACCGGCCGCACGCTCGACGGGGTCCTCTCCGGCTTCGTCGACACGTTCGTCGCCCTGTCCAAACCCCAGTCGCCCGCGGCGATCACCGCGACGCTCGACTGGCTCCGGACGCTCGGCGCACCCGTGTTCTGGCAGCGCGCGCTCAAGCACTACGTCGACCCGCCGGGCGCGAACGCGCAGAGTGCGAAGACGCTGCTGGTCCCGCTTGCGCCTGCACTGCGGCAGTGGGGCACCACCCACGGTGTGCTCGACCAGCTGGGGCCCGCCTTCCAGGGCCTCGTGAAGACGTGGCTGAGGCTCGTGCTCGGACCTGCGCCGCCTGCCAACGCGACGCTTGCGAACCAGCTCGCCGGGCTCACCAGGTGGGGATGCACATGCGGCCACTGCACCGGCGCGAAGACGTTCCTGACGAAAGGCACCGGGCGGTCGAAGATGCTGCACCGCATCGGCGCGCCCTCACGGAAGCATGTCGAGGGCTACCTGGCGGTGCATGCGAGGGGCCTTGCCACGTACACGACGATTCGGTCGTCGCCGCAGGGGTTGGAGGTGTGTCGCGCAGCCTGTGATCACTCGGACGCTGTTGCTCATGCA